ATAATGAAGCTCTTTTTTTTGCAGTCCGTCACCAAACGCAAATTTTTCTTATGGAATATGAAGTTAATGGACTGAACTCCTGAGAAGCTGGTTAATTGGATACAGGCAGGAATACAGGAGGAAAAGGAAAACAATTTCTTGGTTTTTGTATCCATAGTGGCAGCATATGCAAAGGAAAAGAATGTAGGAACTGAGATGGCTGAAATAAAAACTGAACAATGTTCTACCACAACAGAGTTATGCTTTTTAATCTCTCAGACTTTACCAGGAAAGGAAAAAAAATGTGGAGCAACAAGAAATACCTCTCCAACCTGTGGTTACAAAAGAAATATAGTTCAGGAGGCTGGATCAAAGAATTATTGTAACCAGGTGATATGGTGTAGAGGAAGTACATAATCGTTATTGGCATCTTCCTGAGGAATCATCACTAAAACAAATTTTAAGAGTGATAAATTTAGGGGCAAAATCTGTGTTTCTGTATGCTGAGAATGGGGGAACATGTACGGATTATTGCTAAACCCACAATTATCTATACAACAGAGATGAATGACACTGGAAAATACAGTCGTATGACTGATTATCCCAGAGGGGTGGGTTAGAGTTGTGATTACGGTTGTTTTCCCCCTAAAGGAAACTGCCCAATTAACAAATGGAATACTCCAGAGGGAGCAGTTGACATTCCACATATGCAAGAAATGCTGGAGTGGCTTTATGGCCCTGAAGATATCCATCCAAGAAATATGCCCCTTTCAGAGATCGTAGCAGAGATGGTAATTACCTGGGCTCCCCCACCATGGCAATCTCAGGTAGCTTTTCTTCTAGAGGACAATCCTGCAATTAAAGAAGCTGAGTCAGCTCTATTACAAACATTTCTCCATTTGGGCTTTAAGGATACAAGAAACATCAGGGTGATTCTTAGGCAAAAAGGAGGAGACTGTGGGGAAAGGATTTACCCCAGCCAGGTGGAAATTTTTAGGTGTTTACTTAGGAATGGGATGAATATAGCAAACATTGATGAAGTTGAGACAAAGGTTCTAAGGCAGCACTACCGAAGTTTGGGTACAACAGTGAAGGGCCCTTCTGTTTCCCCAATATAAAAAAGACCTAAACAAATCTGTTCTAGTCATCCCACTTACGAGGAATTGATAATGAGACAACCTACTCAGAATCACTTAAAATAGAAGGTCAGCTTCCTGATCAAGATATGGATTGAAGGGAAGGCCAGTCTTCTGGTACAACCCCTAACATGGGATCTGAGGCCATATGCACATGTGTGGGTAAAATGGCCTAGGGATAAAGAATAAACATCCTTGGGGCTTCTGGACACAGATAACCAATATACTGTAATTCCCAAGCCTGACAAAATCTTAAATGGACCTAAAGTTGTATTAGGAGGATATGGAAATGTAGCTATTAATGGGATTAGATTGAAAGTCTGTATGAGAATTGAAACATATAAACAAATGTTGCATGAAGTAGTTGCAACTCCTTTACCTGAATTTATTATTGGTATGGGTATCATGATCTTCAGCAGAATCTTGCTTGCATGTGAAATCAATGACACTGTTCTGTAGTTTCCACACTCAGTTGGGTCACCTTTCTTTGGAATGGGAACAAAT